GGGGAGGAAGAACCAGCAGCATACCTACAGGCTGGGGAACTGCCCCCTCATCAGTGCAGAGGCAGAAAAGGATCTTGGAGTCATTATTGATGCCAAAATGAACATGGGCCGGCAGTGTGGGGATGCAGTCAGGAAGGCCAACCACACCTTGCCATGCATCCACAGGTGCATCTCGAGCAGGTCCAAGGAGGTGATCCTCCCTCTCTATACGACACTGGTCAGGCTGCAGTTGGAGTATAGCATCCAGTTCTGGGCGCCGCACTTCAGGAGGGATGTGGACAGCATGGAGAGGGTCCAGAGAAGGGCCACCTGCATGATCAGGGGTAAGCAGGGCAGGCCCTACAAGGAGAGGCTAAGGGACCTGAACCTGTTCAGCCTTCACAAGAGAAGGCTGAGGGGGGATCTAGTGGTCTGTTACAAATGAGTCAGAGGGGACCAGCAGGCATTGGGGGAGTCCCTGTTCCCCCGAGCACTCCCAGGAGTGACAAGAAATAACGGTCACAAGCTGGCAGAGGGTAGATTCAGACTAGAGATCAGGAGGCGCTACTTCATTGTCAGGGTGGCTAGGATGTGGAACCAACTTCCAAGCGAAGTGGTGCTAGCTCCTACCCTGGGGGTCTTTAAGAGGAGGTTAGACAAACACCTTGCTGGGGTCATTTGACCCCAGTACTTTTTCCTGCCCATGGCAGGGGGTCGGACTTGATGATCTGCTCAGGTCCCTTCCAACCCTACCAACTATGAAACTATGAAACAAATCATTGTTTGCCTTATGTGAGCTTAGAGTTTGTCTACAGACGGGCATTCTTCAAGAATAACTTCAATCAAACTCCTGATTGCCTCAATGTGTGGTTATTTTTAATCCAGATTGAATGTTTCATTCCTATTTATCATAGTCCACTTTAAAATCACACCTACCTTAATATGAAGTGAGCACAAGTGTACAAAAGTCCAACCCACATGGTTTTGTTTCATTTAGTCCTGTTTGGAATACCAGAAAGAATGCTTAAAGATCTCACTAGAGATTGCTGCTCCCAGAGATGTAGTGAGAGAAAAGGAACATCCATGCTGCAATGCAAAGATGTAAATACAGCTTGTATAGACAAGCCTGAGCAAGTTTTAAGACTAGCTACCGTGGTACTGATAGTGGCATAGCTGCAGGAGCTTGGAGCTGAGCACAGACTGGAGGGTATACTGTTGTCATTGCCCAAGCTAACTAGTTCACACCTAGCTCAGGTATGTTTACCTGAGCTGCAGTTGGACCTTTTGTTCATATTAAGTGTCTACACGCTTAATGTACAGTAGCCTAATAACACTGCACAGTAGTATGCCGGGCAAAAACCATGCCAATATGCTACTGTGCAGTAGGTGTCACTAAAAACCTGTGCGCCAGTGCTACCGAGCAGTGGAAACTCTAGTTACTGTGCATTTAGTTAGAACTTCATTAAGCAAGTACTAAATTAAATGTGCAGTAACTACTGTGAATTAATGAATGTGTAGATGTGCTCAGTGTAGACATATCCAGAGAGTGTTAGTAGGGAATCAGCAGGCTTGGGAAGTTTTTTTTAAACTTTTCCTGTCTTCTTTTGCACCTCAGAGTTTACTATATTTAGCTGCATGCATGAACCTTGGATTTTTAATAAGCTACTTTCCCTTCTGAAAGAGAAAGGGCAAAACAACATATCATTTGCAGCTAATAGTCTTCCAATTCAAAGTTCTCTTGATACATTCAAGGAATGGAAATTGAAGGCTTATGTCTTTACACAGTCCTAGCTACAAAGGTTGAAAAGGGTACTTATCAGAGTCATTTAATTGCCTCTGCACTGGAGCTCTGGCTTGAAGAGTGAGATGTTCTTCAAATATTCTTCTATTTCATTTATAACTACACATGCTATTTTATATATCAAACAAAGGCATGGACTGAATCCACTGGCCTCATTTCATGCTGCACTACCATCTGCTGACAGACAGCCATAGTCAGCTAGCATGGAGCTTTTTATAAAGGACACTCAAGTGATTTCTTTGATTGTGTTGAATACATTAGCGTCAGACTAACTGGTTTCAAGAAACACTGCCTTCATGTCATTATGGATCACAGTCAAACAGTCCTCAGTAATTTGATATATTCTATTAGGCCCGCTTTATAGGCTATGTTAAACTGTCTCTCTGCTCCCTGTTGTACTGATTTCCTGAATACAAACCATCTCACCTGGGAACTGCTTTGTAATTCCTCTATTCCTGGACATCCCCATTTGCTATTGTATATATCTGCCAGGTACATGGATTGAAGGTACTGACCTATTTTATATCAGATTGGCACACATCAGCTGTTCAAGAGTCCTTAACTATGTGAACATGCACAATATTTTGAAACGTGTGATCACGCTTTTCACATCTTATTTGATTGATTATCAGGCCTCTGACTGTGGGGCATGATAGATTTACTGACATAAATATTACTCTTACTGTATAGTAGACAGACCAGTGGGCCTAGGCTTCAGGGGACCCATGTTCAGTTCTTTGCAGTCGATTCCCAACTCAACTACAAACTTTTTGTATGAACTAGGGCAATGCACATCAGCTTTTAAGTCCCTATTTCACAGGGTCGCTAAAACAACTGAATCTTGATCATAAAGTCTGTGGATACTATGGTAATTAGGCTTATGTAAGCAGCCAGATAGGTAGGGATCAGATGGTCAATAAAATGAAAATATCATAGCAATGTAAGTCAGAGAACTGAAGGGGCCTCTTGGAACATTTGATCTAGTCCTGTGTTACAGTCACAAGCACCTCTACTATCAAAACAAAGCATTTCAACTTTATCAATGCCACTTTCACCTGACCAAAACAAAATCATGCTGATAGTGCCAT